ATAGTGGCCACGGCTGAGTGTTCTTCTACGGGTTTGAAAAAACGCTGTTGAAAATGTATGATGGGCTTGTTTCCTGTTGCTTTTATTTTTTAGGCTATGTTTCTTGGTCCCTTTACCATGCATTGCCCCCGATGATCTATTACTTCCCCCTTCAGACACTGGCACTCACGGGTCTGGAGGTTTTTGCTGTTGCCTTCTTTTCTCCAATATTCTTGATAATTGGCCCTTTTTGGAGGTTGGCTAACAATAAGTACGTCCTAGCCCTTTTGAGACTGACAACGGTTGGTGAGTATGTGCTGTACTGACTTAGAGATTCCGTCTTGGTATCAGGGCATAGGAATAAGCATTTTGAATTGCCTCAATATTCAGATGATTCTGAAAACAGACAGGAGCAAGAAGTTCTTGCTTTCCCAAATTCATGCTTTTCTTTTTCTCTCAAGCTTTTAAATATGGTCAGAGGAGGATTGTTTGCATCCATTGTGCTGCTTTTTAGACCAGTACTGCGTAATTAAAGACAAATCTCATTTCATTTTTATTTCTAAAAGCTTTCAAATAACTAGAAGTCATCCCGAATAGGAAGAATGTTTTCAGTATTGCACAGAGATTGGCAGAGCAGGTGTTTTTTGTGTAGCAGTTCTGTGTCTGTGACAATGGGTAGGGACGAGAGTTATAGAACATTTTAGGGCTATTATAAAAGTAATCTGCTGTGAGCGAAATGGGTTCTTTTGGTAGGTGGTTTCTGCAACAGTTTTTTCTTTTAAGAATTTTGAAAAAATAAATCTATGTGTCTGTAGCATATTGATGGAGTTACTACCCTCATCCTAAACATCATATTGTCAGTTGCACAAGAAGAAAGCTTTGTCTTAAATTTAAGATAAAGCTGCCTTGCTGCTTATCCCACATGCTCTTCCCTAAACAGACACTTGCAGGGATTTCCTCTTCAGTCTTCAGCCAACTGGTGCAAGTCTTAGCTTTTGTAGATTTTCTCAGAGTTTTTTTTGGGAGAAGGTTTTGGCAGCTTCAGCCACATTCAGAAGAAAGTTATTAGTAATGAGTTTGTGACTTGGAGGATTCAAGGGTCTTCATCCTGTGTAGAGGGCAGATGCTTCTGCTAAGTGATGCGTTTCAGAAGCAGCACTTCTTGGCTCCTCGTTTGTCAATATAATATGATAATCAGAGCATCACTGTCTGTATGATATTCCTCTTTTACTGTTAGAAGACAAAACAGGGTAATGTTATTTACTTACCTTGCATGATTAAAAAAAAAAAAAATTGTTCTTTAGAGAGATGCTAAAACTGAGCACAATTTGTTGGCATCATCAGTTCAGATGAAGAACAGTTTTGTCATGTTCTTTTTCTACTCTTTTCATCATATCCATCTTGATATTTTTTTCTTGCTTTTTTTAATAAGCTTGTTGGTGGGCAGAATCTTCTGCTTCAGCTTTCTGCAGCAGTGCTCAGTGTATTACTTTCTACAAGATCTGCTAATTTAGAAACTAGTAATGAGTGTAAGCATTTCAGATTGCAACTTGCCTTCCTTCAGGTATCACAGTAACACAGAGTCTGCCATATTTCTTCAAGACTAGTCCTTCAGATCATTTTACTAGTTCACTTTACCAGAAGAGATGGAAATTACTTAAATGTGTGTAATTTTTGTTCTGCTAAGAGCAGTGACAGGCTTGTAATGTGTAAAGAGTCTTTTGGTTTTTGCCTGTGTACTTTGCCTGCAAGCTCTTGAAGTACAAACAAAAAGCTGACACTTCCAGTAGTAATCTAGAGAAAAGATTTGTTAATGAAAGTGGTCACAGAAGGATTCAGAGCTGGGGAGACTGAAGCTGTGGGCATCCTCAGCCTGTGCTAACCTGAGCTTTGCTATATGCAGATAGGATCTCTTCTTTGTTCCTGCCTGAACAAGAACTGTTCCCTCAATGACCATATCCCCCTGCTTTTTCCATCTCCCAAACACTCTTAATATTGTCCACCCCTTGGTAAGGCTACACTGTATTCTCTCCCAACTCTACTGTACTTTGTATTTTCCTTGCCAGTTGCCCTACAGTGAGCACTGGCATTTGGTGAAGATGTAAGAGCATGTTCCTCATCCTTTTCTTTGTCTCTAGCAAGGAGTTTAGTCACTCTTTATTTGCCTCCCTACTGCAGGTTCTCAGATTATCCAGATGTCCTTGCACAGGCAGCAATGGGCTTCAGGACTTTCCATGTGTATCTTTTTACTTGGTTCTTAACAATTCATTCTGTCTTTTAAATGATTTCTGTCCTGTTGTACTGTGCTGCTGTTTTTCCTGCTCCTCAAGTCTTCCTACTTTCCCTCCTTCTAGACACTTCTTCCTTCTTTCTCTTTCCGATCTTTTTTCCTTCTCAGAAGGGCCATGCCCTTTCTCTGAGGCTTATTGAACAAAAGCAGGCAGGAGAGTCTATTCTATGCATGTTCCACCCCAGTCCCCTGGAAATATTCAGTCTTATACTGCACAACAAAAAAAATTGGAAATTCTTCATGGTTGCCTAAAGTTGGAGTACTGAGGGGATTGGAGTTTTTGGCTTCAATGGAAAAGGCTTTTCCCTTATTCATCATCATCTTTCTTTTTGCCTTTTCAGGAAGCTTTATTTTCTTCAAAACTTTTGTTTTAATTTCTGTATCCTTTCATACTACTTGATTTTGTATTCTATTTAAAGAAAAAAAAAATGACAAACAACGAACTACCCCTGTGGTAGTGTTTATCTGAATCTATGTTTTCAGACAAGACACAGTAAATTTGCATGTTTGGACAGATATATTTACATTTTGGGCGTATTTGCTCAGCAATCAAAGGTATGTCTGCTGTAAGCAGACAAACCCACGCTAGTTTTCATCTGGCTAGCACAAGTGATGAAAGATCTGAAGGGACAGAGTTGCAGACTTCAGCACGATTTAGCGACAGATATCTGTGTGCATTGTATGAGCAACGTCTGCTAAAGTCCCTACATCTTCATTGCACCTTGGTGTCGTTTTACTCTCTTTGCTCTAAGGCTTGCATCTTCTGATCTGAGCAGAATGAGCAAACAGACAGCTGGAGGATTCCTAGCGTGCATTGCCAGAATCAGCATCTCCATTTCTGGCCTTCCTTGCTTACGGTCTCTTCCAGTTTGACTCATACTCACTTAGCAAATGGCTGATAACAAAACAGTGTTGCTTCTCCTGCTATTATCACTAGTCCTGGGCAAGAATTTGCCACGCTGACTGAAGTTATGAGAATGTGTGTGACCTGTAGACATTTGAACTGGAAACCTGCTAGGAGAGTTTAAAACTGCTGATAAAGATGAGATCACTGTGCCCTGGGAAATGGCAGAGGTGCATGGGCACAGTCTTTTAAAGTGACTGAAAAGTGGCAGTTTCCAGTAACAAGATGACACAGGCTGCTCATGAACACTGAGACCAGATACTGGGCCAAAGTCAGTCTTGTTCACACCTGCTAAGGCAAGTGCCCACTGATCCTTACGCAATGTGTGGTGACTGCTCCTTTCTATAAAAAGTTTGGCTTTTGCTGTAGTGCAGTTATTTTTATGGCTTTTCCCATAAAAGTTATGCAAGTGCACTGTTTAGGAGTAGCAGTTATTCAAGTGCACTGTTTAGGAGTAACTGCGTGCTTAGAGAATTTATCCATATATCCTGTTTATGGAATCAATGACCATAAGTACTTAAATTAAGGTAATCTCTGCAGTCGTGGATAATTGCTTCATGTTTTGTTTGTTTTTCCCTGAATACTATAACTGTTACAAAGCCATATATAGCCAGTTTCTATCCATACCTGCATTTCTTTGGTTTGTTTAAAAATATTTGGGGTCATGTGTTTTCAGGTGAATGTTGTAGCCATCCAAATTATGGACAGGATTGAATTAATGCATAGGAAATCTTTATTATCTGATCTCTATTGCTCATTAAAGCAACTTCTTTGTGTGTGTGTTTGTTTGTAGGAAGCTTAGCATCATTCCAGGCACCAAATGCTTCAATTAGACTGTTCATCTTGGCTGCAGGTGTTTCTTCCTCACTGCTGGTTCAAACAGTAACATGGTGGTCAGGAAGCAGTTTACAAAGGTATTTTCTATTATTGATGAGATTGCAACTGTCTTTTTTTTTTTTTTTTTCCCCTCTGAAAGTTGATTGTGTTTATTTTCCTCAAATGCATCACTATTTCAAAAACTGATTCTTACAGGTTCATCAGGATATGGGGCTTCATGCTAGGCAAGGTGATGCTCCTTGTTCTCCGGATCTGGTACACATCACTAAACCCAGTCTGGAGCTCACAAGCGGCCAATGCTGTCATACTGACAGCTGGCTTTATAGCAGCAGTGGAGCGAATTCACTCAGGTAAGCAGCTTACAGCAAAGATGGCAGATGTGAAAATGTCCTAAGGTATACTTATCTATATGTCACTAGGTTTTGGTTGCCTGCTTTTTTTACCCCAGTACAGTCTTACTTTAGACCTGATGCATGAGCTCTGAAGACTTTAGAAACCCTGGGGTACTTCCATCTGCCCAAAACAAGGCAGAATCAATGTCACAATTCATACAAGTGGCAGTAAGTTGGTGTTGGAACTGCCAACTAATGGAAGTATCAATAAAGTGACAGTAACACAAACAAAGGTTTAACCTAGACCAGTGAAACCAGAATGGGTTATTCTCGTTCCAGCATGAAACATCTGTGGTATTTCTATATTTCCTTAATTTAATGTGCTCTTTGAGGTTTTTCTGCCAGTGGTTAGCCTTTGATGGAGAAGGAGAGGTAGCACAAAGCTGGGGAACAGCTTTGTGGCAAAATAAACAGGAAGAATTGGAAGAGTGGTCAGGTTGCCCTGGTCAAAATATGCCTCAGTTCTTGGAGTGTCTGGACAGAGTACACAGGAGTGGGTGCTGGCACAGGCAAAGCACACATGCAAACTCTGGCCAAGGGAGACAGCGAGGTTGGGTTGGTTAGTTAAAGCAGCTCGTGTTAAATCCTCAGCAATTCCTTCCTTCTCAGTATAACCTATGCCAATTAACTGAAAGATAAGACCAGATCTATGCATGAGTGGGTATAAATCTGCATCATGTGTATTGTTTCTAGACTTGTGTTACATGACATAAATTAAGCCTGAGCTTTCATCATAATTTAGAAAGTGAATATACTGCAGGAGATGAGGAAATGAATCTGTCACCCTCCTTGGTGACAAACTAATATGTCTGTGCAATTAAAGGTGCTGCTTTCTCCTTAGATGAGAGAAGATCTAGAGTGCATGAAAAAAAAGACGGAAGGGAGTTTATTTCTGGCTTCTTTGGAAATGTTGGATTTTGTTCTTACCAGAGTTTAGAGTTTCACAGAACAGAATCCTCTGAACAAATTCTAGTAACTTTCCAGCTAATTTTCAAATAATTATTTTTTGTTATTGTTATTAGTAATAATTTTTATTATTATTAAAATTCCAGCAGTATGAAGAATAATTATATGGGCAAGTTGCCATTTTTATACCCTTAAGGTGAATAGCTTTTCCTGACAGATTTAGGAATGCTATTAGAGAGTTTTTTTCTTTCCATGAATGATCAGAGAAGTTAGCTTTTGTGTCTGAGCCAGTATTTATTCTGTAATTTTTGTGATCTTGGCTGTTTCTTTTTCTCAGTAACCGTTTCTAATAGGATTTGACAATTTGCTCACCTGTATGTCTATTCTTATTCTAGATGGAAACAAGAGGAAACAAGAAGCGAACAGGACTGGTAATGCAGTTAGAGAGACTGTTTCCCACCCTCACTGGCTTTTGTCAGGGATTGCTTTTGGCAGCCTCATGTTCCTCACCCTGTGGATATTTGGAGAGGTCTCATTAGTTTCTAGATGGGCAGTGAGTGGACATCCACATACAGGTCCAGATCCTAATCCGTATGGGTAAGTGGGTTGTTATTTAAACAAAACTATAATCAAAAGGCAGTGCTGTAGTGGGTGACAAACTAAAACTCAACCAGATGATGGTATAAGGATTAGAGGAGAATAATGAGGGTTCACAGAGAAGACTTGTGGATTCATTCTTGCTATCAGATACCTCTGAGCATTGTATCTCTTAAAAATAAGCCTTACATTTTTGTATTGCAGAATAATTTTTATTTCAGCAATAAAAACCTTGATTTCCCACATTGCAAAGCAGTTCTTAAATTAGGACTGAGGTTCAAGGACTTAGGAATGAAGTGCATCTGTAATATGCAGTAAATGAATCTAGCAGGTGACTTCAGAAAGGAGATGGTAGGAAATAGTGTATGTCAAAGATGCATGTAGATAAAAAAAGTAAACTGTGTGGAATATTAAAAGATACACTGCTGTAAAACTTCTGATTACTAAGAATTCAGTCTTAATGCTGGGAGTTGCCTACCCAGGTTGCAAAATCTAGAAAGAGACCAGATTAGTCTGGTGAGGTAGCTAATAATTTGGAATTGCTAATAAGAGCTACCCAAGACCGATAGCAATATAGATGATAGATGCTGTATTTGACATGAAGAAAATACTTGTGTTTGGGGTGGATTCCTCCTCATTTTCCCTGAGTTCTTTTTGCATTCTGTACCCGATATTTTGATGGGGTGCTTCTGCTGCTGAGCACAGCTTGATGACAAACTGCTGTTGTTTCAGCTGGGTGTTTTTTACATCCAGCAAAGGGGAGGAGTTGTAGCAAGGTGTGAGATAAAGACATATTGTGCTTAAATTGAGCTCTGTTTAAAATGAAAAGATTACAAAATATTACCAAGCATGCTTTTCTGTGTGTCTAGAAGCTTCTTTCGAAACCATGTATGTATAAAATTATATTAACGTATGATTTATGTTTCCTTATTGTTATATTAGAGGTACAGTCCTGTTGGGCCTGGCTCATGGACTGATGCTTTCATTTTGGAGCTGGTCTTCTGTCACCAGTTTTGCCTGGTTTCTTGTAGGTAGGTGCAAATCTTGAGTAGAATTTTTGTTTCTATTACCTTATTCCCCTTACTTGAGTCCTCTGACCCCACACCACATCTCAGAAAAGTGAATTGCTAATCAAAGCATCTTTTTCTGTTCACTGACAGTAGTGCACACGTCTGACCAGTTGACTGAGTGCTACAGGCCAAATCTCCAGGGCACTGTAGAAGCAGCATTGTTCTCTTCAGAAGCCCCTGTTGATGTTCTGTTCCCATGAGTAACATCTCAGTTCTCACTGTCTGCATTGTGTAAAGCTACATTTAGGGTTATAGGGCTGAGATGACACAGGCCTCTTTATTCCACAGAAGACACAATAACTTGTAATTTAATGAGCAGTTCACCTAGAGGCAAGCTTGCCCTCTCTCTCCTTAGTTGCCAAGGTCTCCAGGCAGCAAAATAGTATGAACATCAAAGCAGTTTTGCTGGAGCAATGTATTTGTGAATCAGTCTGCACAAAGTGGGTCTTGAGTGGTGGAAAGAGGGATTCAAGTGCTGCATCTGGACATCCATTTTCAGGAGGATAGTGTAGCTATGCTGTGGAGCAACCGTGCATGGCACAAGTAAGATGAGATGGAAATAATTATGTTTGGAGAGGTGTGTTTTCAATACCTTCTGAGCATGGATGGGTGGATGCAGCTTGGTTCAATTTTTAGGTTCATTTGAGTGCAATTTAGTGGTATAAATGCTGTTTAAAAAAAAATCCCTAGATCTGCTTCTGTTTTGGCTGTGGCTAAGTGCTCATAGATGTTTATATAAAGAAGATAAAGCAGTACTTCCTACGCATGTTTAATAATAAATCGGGGCATACCAAAATAGATCTTAGGAAGAAATTCTTCAGTATGAGGGTGGCAAGACCCTAGAATAGATTGCCCAGAGAGATTGTGGATGCCCCCTCCCTGGAGGTGTTCAAGGTCAGGCTGGATAATGCCTTGAGCAGGCTAGTCTAGTTGAGAGGTGTGCCTGCCCATGGCAGGGAGGTTGGATTAGATGATCTCTAGGGTCCCTGGGCAATTGACAGTTTAATCATTAAACTGTGCCTTTATTGTGACTTTCCTGCTATTTGGCATTTTATTTTGGTTCCTGACTAGGAGAAACTCAGACAGACCTGCTAATATCTTAAAAACCACATCATCCCTCTTGTGGCGGGAGAGCTCTGTGTAAGAAAAACTGTTCTGTGTTGGATCTTGATGATATTTCTCTGCTGTCTTTTTGCTGTACTGTTTTCCCTTGAATAGGTCATCTTTAAGAGAATGAGATATTGGCAAAAGCAAGAGGCCGTGTTTGGCTGTTGGGAACAACTGCCCTTCACTTGATGCAGTTCTCACAGCTGCAAAGCACAGTTAGATTTCCCAGACTCTTCTTTTCCTAGACAGAATGTGAAAAATGTGGTGACAGGTTCTATACCTGACTGTGACTTACCCTGTTCTTCTCTGTCCCTTCACAGGTTTAGCATCTTCAGCTGGTCTCCTGTATTTACACACATGGAGTGCTGCTGTTGCAGGCACTGTTCTTGGGGTCTTTACTATGTGTGTGTGGCCTCAGCTGGCTGGAGGCTTTGTTAGCTGCCTGCACCCTGGAAAAGCCATGACCACAGCCATGTTTGCCTACGTCCTTGAATTATTCTTCTGCGTGTGGTGCACAGCTTATAAATTTGTACCTGGAGGAATTTACATTAGAGAAAGCTCCCATCTTCTTTTAGGTACATTTATGAATGTAAACAAACACAAATATGCTTGCGTTAGCCTCAGCCAGATGTTGAAAAGAGATCTAGTGTATTAATAGCCTTTCCAAATGTGCAGCTGCTGTTGAATTTACTATGTAAGAGTTTCTATGAGGAAATTAGTGAGATGTGCAAAAAAAAATGTCTAGTTGTTTCTTTACGGCTAGAAATAGTTTAAAATGTGGACAGAAAATGGAATTCAGTTGAGGACAAAGGACAAAATGAAAAGAAGTCTGGTAACTAAGCATACAGCTGAAGAAGAGATCTGTTTGATCAGTCATCCTAAAATTACGGCTGCAATGCAGGGTGTGAATGCACCTGTATGCTAGCTACCTAAGATAGCAGTATGGTACCTCAGGTGACAGTGTAGTTTCTGGAAACCCAGGGACTTGTGAAGGCTTCGTTACTGGGACTGTAACATAACTTGGTGCCGTATTTAGCCCTGCTAAAATCATGCCCAGCAAAGTGCAGCATCCTGCTGATCTATGTAGTCTGTGTTTGAGACCCAAGCTTCATTTCCATGTGGCTCTACCTTATGCCTCGTGGACACGCTGGCATGTTTGGAGAGATGTCAATAAAACTGCTGTGTCAGAAACATGCAAAGAGGAGAGGAAGGAAAGAAACTGTCAGGTATTTGCCAGTGTGGAAGAATAGAGGTTGGGAAGTACAAAGGTTTTAGCAAAATGATCATTTGATGAAGTTGGGGAGGTGGAGATGAAACCAACTGTTTCTGTTTTTTTCTCCAGAATTATTTTCCTACTAGGTAGTTACTAATGTGCTTCAATAGCATATTTCACTAGTTATATTTAAACAATGCAAAGCAGTGTCGTGGGTTAAGTGTGGCACTTCTTAAAATGTGACACATTATCCCACATTTTGTTTGAAAAGGACTAATGAATGCTGAGCTTGACTTGTTGCTCCAGTGTTTTTATATTTTGTAGATATCTTTGCAGCCACTCTCTGTCACTCCAGTTTCCTACTCTCCATATGTTTTTCATATATTACAGCAGTTACGTGCAGGGTTTCAGTTTGTTATGTTTTGAGGAGAGTTCCATGCAATTTCTGGTTTGGTTTTCTTTGTTCTGAAAGCGCTCTGGAGGGCGTTGGTAGAAACAGTTATCTCAGTGAATTTCATTTTATTTTGCTATGTTATACAATACAAAGAAAACAGGTGGTAGAGGAGTGTCAAATGCTTTCTTAAATAATGTTTTGACAAAAGAAAAGCTGTTACTCAAAATCCCTCTCTGTCACTTCCTTTGAAATACGTTTGATTGATTCACCTGGTGGTATCACTGCGTAGTAACACCCTATGGATGGCCCTAACTTTCTCTCCAGTAAAATGAAACCTGTGAAGTGAACCTCTCTCAGCTGATGGCACTACATGAGTTTATATTCCATGTCTGAGTCCAGTTTTTGTCTTTTTGATACAATCCTGTTGCTTATGAAAAATTTTCAAATTATACCATGAGACTGTGTAGCTGTTGCTGCACTCCTACCCTTACAGCTTGGCTTTCTGGCAAACTGCTTGTTTTCTTCTGCTTTCTTTCAGGTGCAAGTGCTGTTTCTTGCTTTTTCCTCCTGTCCAATATCCTGCCTTT